CACCAATATGGCATATAGTATCCGGATTCTCTGTGTATTTTCCATCTTTATGTGGCTTTTTACTATTTTACTTTTACTTCCTTTTGTTTCTTTTTTCCCAAGACAGGGTTTCTCTGTGGAAATCCGCCTGCCTCTGCTTCCTTCAGCAAATCTTATCAGGGTTGGCCACCACAACCAGCTACTCTATTTCCTTCTGTTATTTTTTCTCTCACAAGCCTACATATATTTTTTAATATAGTGTAAACCTTTAGAGGTTTTTCTTTATATGGATCTGTCTTTATCATCTCGGGAGTGCCGAGTCCAATGCCCAAGAACATCGGGATGACACGAGCATATGGAAGCTGCTCCAATGCCTCTCAGCAGCCCGGCAGGGCAGGCTGTGGCGGCAGGTTTACCTTTCTCTGGGAACCTTGGGGCATGGGGTCATCCCGCTCACTGACACCATTCTGTTATGGTAAATCTTTCTGCCAAAAGCTGTCTGAGCCCCATTGCAACATAGCAACGTGTGCGCTTTATGCCAGCCGCCCGCCTGAGTTAGGGCCCAAATGAATACACAGAAACTTGTATTAGGTTCAAAGCTGCTTGGCTAATGACTAGGATTCTCATCTGCTAGCTCAGTCTTAATTATCATAAATCTATATATTTTATAAGACTTACCTTATCAGATGCCTTATTGGTGTCCCTCCTTGCTGGTGGCTCAAGTCCTGCCGCTGTAGAAGGCAAACGGGAAAAGAGGACACTTCCTGTTTCCTTTGCTTAGATATGAGTCTCCTTGCTATGTCTCCTGCCTGGATCACCACTTCTCTACTACATTTCCCAGAATCCTCTTTGACTCTTAGTCCTGTCTAACTTGCTGTCTCATTGGCCAAACAGTATTTTATTCAATAATCATTAAGATAAACATACACAGCTTCTCAGGAGAGCATCACCAAGAAAGTGTGGTCAAAGGAGGTGATGCACAAGTGATCAGGTTGTAGGGGTACCAAACTTGGCACCCTGACAGGGAAAGGAAGAGAATCAAGAGTGAGTCCCCACAGCAGAAACACAACAAATAAAGTCATGAGAGGCAGGACCCAGGAGAGGGTAGGGGCGCCATGGAGAAGTCTCTGCACCACAACATCAGATGCCAGGTCCCACGGGCAGGAAGCTAGGAGCTGTACTGGTTGTTCTCAGTTCCCTAGTCTGTTCCCTGGGTGAACAAGCCAGGCATAAAACTCTCTAACTGTACTCTGTCTGCTTCTGTGAGTAGAACCTTGTTTTGAAATCAGTGAATAAAATAACTAGTCTGATCCACACTTGAATTAGTAAAGATTGTCAGTGCATTTTACAGTGTCATTTTATGTCATTTTACAATTTTGTCTTCTGCTATATTTGACTGTTGGTGGGGGGAAGGGTGGTCCTCTTTCTCCATAGACCTGTGTTGGCCACCAGATCAAGAGGGTAAGAGGAAGTAGTAGTTTTGTACAGAAAGCTTTGTATTCGGCCCAGGAGCACAAACAACAGGCCTCCAAGGGACAGACTTCAGTGAATCAGCTTAACTTTATTTCAGAGTATAAGGCAAATGTAGGACTGGAGAGCCTAGGGACAATCCCTCATTTGCATTAAAAAGTCCTATCATAAGGCCCCTCGCACAAGTCTTCGTTATCATGTGTGCAGCAAGGGGGCCTTCTAGCAGGGATCTCTTTCAGGGTACAAGCTACAGATGTCAGGCATCTGCTTTAGAGACAGCTTCTCAGACAAGGTCAGTCCCCCAGGCCTAGGGACACTCTCCAGATAAGCACAGGTAGAGGCAGAAAGTTCTACTGGGGGGGATCCCCATGGAGCTATTGAGATAAGCTGCCAGGCCATGGGGACATGGGGAGACTGGGACCTCTATCAGCCAGCAATGTCTCCCAACATTCTTGGATTGGCTCCTGTGTTTTCTTTAACTGCAATGATAATTCCACAGCTACCTCCTGCCTCTTCACAGTCCCACAAACCCATCAATACTGGCATTTTACCAGATAAACATTTAGTATATTGGTAAGTTAGTTAATTTGAAGTACCTTTACTGGAAAAACAAAAATACTTTAATGATAGCAGAGGCAGGGCATCATCACACTTTTTTATACAGAGGAATCATCTGGAGGACTTGCTATAAAGAAAAATCCTTAGGTATTTCAGGAAATTTGCACGGCTCAACTCCCCATACTTCTAGAGCAATACAGATACTGCTGATGCAAGGACCTTTGTTAGAATATGGTATGAGAAATATGGGACCTTTAGCAGGTCCCACCGTGGATGATGGACAAATGGTGGATGGGAGACAGACAGAGACCTGTAGATGTGACTTATGTGGGGGAAGATAAGAGAATAAGGGAAGGGAAGAGAGAAAAAAGACAGAGACAGAGAGACAGACAGCTGCCTCCTCAGAGAAGAGAGAGAAGAGGAAAGTGGGTGGAGTTTTCCTCTTAAACCTTTGTGCCTGCATACAGACTATATAGTGACCTAGCAGCCATAGGACCCTGGGCTGGCCAGGGTACTGCCTGAGTGCATCCTGCCAGGTGACAGTAGGCAGGCTAGCATAAAGCCTGAACCCTAACAACCTATTTTCTCATCTTCTGATTAGAATGGGAAGTACATTTTGTAACTTATCAGGTGACTCCAATGCTCGTGATTTCAAGAGTAAACTTATGACACAGCATTCCAAGTATTTATTCCCTTAGTAAAAAGGGTTTTCCTCTGTTAGAACAGAGAAATAATTGAATGACAGAACATAAACTTTAAAATAAAGGACAGAAAGACACAGAAGTCATTGATTGCGAAGCAAAATAAGTAAATTTAGTTGTCTATGACAAATGAGGATAATTAAATCTTTTATAAAGA